CGAGGAGCTGGTAAATGCTGTGCCGATGTCTGTCTTTAGTTGTGCAGGGAGGCCCATGATGGCAAAGGATGAAAGCATATGATTTATTAGCTTTTTTGAACCTTCACCAGTCTGGGCAGTAGCCCAGAGGAAGTGAGAGTAAGTGTCTATAGTTACAAATACATATTTCTGTCTGCTGAATTGGGGGACATGAGTTACATCAATTTGCCAGAGGGCATTAGATTTTAGCCCTCTAGGATTGGTGCCCATCTGTTGCATAGCAGGGGTATGTATCACTGATGCACAAGAAGAGCAGGTTCTAACAATGCATTTAAGTTTCTTGAGGGGAATGTGGGGGAATCTGAGATGGAGCCCTTGCAAATTAATGTGGGTGGCATGGTGGAGGTTTTCTGTTACACTTACACTGGCAGAGAAAGTTTCAGCGGTGGCTACTTTATCTGCTATGGCATTTCTTTCAGTAAGAGGTCCTGGGAGAGAGGAGTGGGACCTGATATGCTGGACAAATCGTGGAGTCACTCTCTTTTGTAATAGTGTGGAAATTTTAATTAGCAGAGGTGAGATGGGGTTGCCATCAATTTTAATAAAGGAACGACCTAGCCATGGAAGTAAATTAACAGCATAGATGCTATCAGAAATAAAAAGAAAGCATCAAAATATATAAAAGCAACTAGAAAGACCAAGTATTCATACAAATGAATATCCCTGAAAGAAAAATAATAATTAAGATTAGACATTCGTCTCTAAATAAGGCCTCCCATTGTACAAATAATGGACTGGGGAGGGTAGATCTACAGATATCCCTCCAGTCCTGGGGGGTAAGCAGATTAGTATTAAATGTTTGTAGTATAGATTTTGTCCATGGAGCATGGATTCCATCTTCACGGACAGCCTGGAGTAATTCTTTAAGTTCTGCTGCTGGGAGCGGGTACCAGGCCAGTAGGCATTGCCTTGTTATTTGTAAGTTAACAGGAAAAGCCTCTACTGGTGGGGTGTGGGGGTCCTGAGACCACTGAGGGTGGCAACTTCCACTATCTCTAAGATTACACAGTTGCTCTGTGGCAGTAGGGCATTGCTGGAATGGCACCACAGGCGGTGGCAAAGCCACAAGGCGTGGCGGTAGCCGAGGTGAAGGGGGAAGGGAATTTATCTGAGGATCTTTGGGAGCTTTTGAAGTCTGGGCGTTAATATCTGAGCTTGTTAAATCAGCAAGAGGGGGGTAGAGATTAATTTTGCTGATGAGTAGCTTTTGTCTGACTTCTGTTGAATCTGTTACTGGGCAATTTTTAGGGTCCTTTTTATCGTTTGAAACCTCTCCTTTATTATTTTCTGGTGTTTGTAAGCTTTCCTCAATCTTAGGTGGGTTTCCTAAGCATTGCTGGATGGCTGCCATTACAGGGAAAAAGGAAAGGGGAAAATTATGTCTTTCTTCGATTTCTTTTTTACGAGCCAGATACGCAAGAAAGTTCCAGACCTCTGGATCAGATATGTCTGCTGACAGGATCCAGGGCACAAATTGATATACTTCATTCCAAAATTTTAAGCTTTCTTTTTGGGAGATCTTAAGTCTTCTTGATTTAAGTAAGGCTCTAAGGGAGCGAATTTGGAGTTTTTTCTGGCGTGATGTTGAATTACCCATTATAAAAAGGAAAATAGTGTTGTCTGGTGTTTAATGTTCCTGGAGCAGTCTGACACCAGGGGGTGTTCTGACAGACAGAAGCCTAGCTGCAGACTTAAGGTCTGCAGGAAAAAATGGCCTTTTTAAAATTTTTACAAGCCTAGCTGCAGATTTAAGGTTTACAGGAAAAAAAAATGGCCTTTTTAAAATTTTTACTAACAAAAGCCTAGCCACAGATTTGAGGTTTACAGGAAAAAA